CTCACGGTGGTGGCGAGTAGTCCTTCTTGATCCTCTGCTCAGCACACATTCACACACTCACGGATGGCCTACACGGCACGGACGACGGAGTGACAACGCCTACAACCGTCGTCGTCGGTGGCATTTCTTCGAGATCGGCAACAGGAGCTCGACTAGGCGGCGGCACGGCTGGAAACGAAACAGAAGAAGGAGAAGAACGGAGAAGGTTCGGTGGTTCTTGGCGGCGTATCAGCAACGACGTTGGATGCTCCAGCGCTTCTCGGCTTCTCTACTCGTCAGAAATGGCGTCGACGGCAGCAGTAGGGCGGTGTGGTGGCGGTTGGACCCGACGATGCCAACAGCGGCGGAGGATGCTTCTATGGTTCACGGTCTCAACAGTGGCGGTGCGACGCCGGAAGTGGAGGAAGGAGGTGACGCCGGAGATGGAAGGTATAAGGTGGTAGAGGGTTGGCGGCTGCAATGGGTCTCTAGGGTTAGGGTTTCATAATCTTTATATACCGGCTCCTTATACGAGTTTGCCATAATGACCAAAATGGTCCCTCCAGCTCCCATTTATTTCGAAATAGATCCTATATTTACCATATAAACCCTCAACATTAAATCCTTTACAATTCAGGTCCGGTTTTTACTAAAACAGCCCCTCCTCTACAAATTCTTTTCAAATGAAGTCCCAATAATTACCAAGTATTCCCTGCCCTCATAATTCTTTACGGAACCCATCCGAAACTTACACTTTTAACCCCCGACTTCTAAAACTGTGACAATTAGCTCCTCGAGACCATCCTTTGATATATAATTATTTATTTTAGGGCTACCATTTGTTAATTATTTAATTTATTTATCTAATAAATAAACAGGGTGTTACAAATTGGGTTCCACTACATAACCATAAGTACATACTTTGGATAATTACTACATTACCCCAAGCTTGGCTTATTCATGCCCAAGGCCCAATCCTTAGGCCCAAGGTCAACTAGGAATCAAAGCCCGACACATGGCCCAATTTTCTAAATTGGGCCCACGCCTATACATGATCTTATTCTATGGCCCAAAATCATATGACCATTAAGGCCCAAACTACGGCCCACCTATGGCCCAATTTTCCAAATTGGGCCCAACTTCCATACGGGTCTTACCTCAAAGCCCATTAATTATTCTAGTCCATTTGCTTGATCTTGGATGGCCCTTTAATAACCCAATCATCAAGGCCCAATAGAAAGGCCCAACTCAAGGCCCAAGTGAAATTAGGGTTTCACATAAAATGATGATTAGGGTTAAGTTTCCAACTTAACCCATTAAGGACTTAATCTACTAAGGACTTAATCCATTAAGTCCAATATTGCTTAGATTAATCTTTGCCAATGATTATTATTTAATATTTCAAACTATTAAATAATTCATGTGTGTGTGTCCCGATTAATTCTCAAAATTAGGGTTTTATTGGCGTTAGGGTTTTCCAAACCCTAATCAGGGTTTCCAACCCAAATACTAGCCCATTTAAAAATTTATTGGGCTTTTAGGTCAATGAGGGCTTTATTGGGCCTATTAGGCCCACTAGAATATCATTAAGCCCATTAGTCAAATGCTTGGGATTTTAGGTCCATTAATGTCACACCCCCGAACCTGGACGGCGGAAACGTCCGGGGGCGGATGACTTCGTGTACAGTATCATAACAGTTGAATATGAATGAAACATAGCAACCAAACATCATACATTGGAAATACACACTTACATAGTTTACATATTGAACTTGTTCATCAGTTACACAAAAGTAAGCAAGTAAAATTTCTTGAAGTTGCACCACTTGATCTCCTAGTCGAACTTACTACCTGCTACTGGAATTCCTAAGAATACAAGTCGTTTTGAAAAGCGTCAACTAAAAAGTTGGTGAGTTCATAAGCAGTTTTGAATAAAAATGGTTTTTGTACTTGTTTAGAATCGTTTTCAAAGTGCTTTCAAAAATATCCGATACTTTCTAAAAATAAATGGTTTGAAATATTTGTGTCCGGTCTTATATTAATGCATGGGTGTTAATGGTTACAAAAATAGATAGAGAATGATTTCCAGACACCCCGATGTTGTCTGCAATAGATAATGCTGAAATCTCAACCCCGGTGGTTGAGTACCGATGCTTATAGATTGTCGTTTTATCAAAAAGAAGGTTTCTCGTTTTATCCCAAAAAGAAAATAGAATGGTTTCCTGTTTTATCCCAAAAAGAAAATAAAATGGTTTCCTGTTTTATCCCAAAAAGAAAATAGAATGGTTTCCTATTTTATCCCAAAAAGAAAATAGAATGGTTTCCCGTAAATCTTATAACGTTAATTCCTCTAAGTGAGTCGTTATAACCATACTAAATAATGACAATTTTGCCTGTCTTTGCGTCTTTGGGACGCCGACGGAATAGAATAAGGTTTTTGTCACCCTAGACTGGCCTAGTCTAACTGTAGCGAACAGCTCAGGTGTGGGGTGTCACCCCCGTATAGATTTATACACAAACTCCCGCTTTCCCTCCAGGAAACTCTGGTTATAACTACAGGCTACGATTGTACACTCAAAGGTGCCAACCGACAGGTCTCACTAGATCCTTAATCGAAAATTTACACGGAAAAGAAAGAACACATATAAAACTCATTCCCAGGCCCAATAAACATGTAAGTGGACCACTAAGGCCCACTATACGTATCTATTATTTCCAGGCACAAAAGGAATGTAAATGTCTACCCTGAGCCCAATATACATGTAAAAGGACACTAAGGCCCACTAACCATGTATATTATTTCCAGGCCCAAATAAGGATAAGAATATCGTTTTTAACCCGTTTGTTATTGTTTTGTTTATTTTAGCTCGATTATTTACAAAATTGATATAAAAAGTCCACTTTTTGTAAAAAAGACGTTCTTGGCCCAATAAGCCACGAAGTTTTCAATTAAGGCCCAATTATAGTAAAAATAACACTTTAGCCCCCATTTTAATCAAAACTTGTGTTTTTGACTAGTTTGTGGTAAAAATAACATTTTAAACTCATTTTTGTCAAAAATATCATTTTTGGCTTGATTTTTGTGAAATACACATTTTTCTGGTTTTTGACTTTTCTGACCTAATTGTTGGAAAATTATTAGAAAAATCATCGTAAGTCGAAATTTGGATCCGTAAATTCTGGAAGTTTGGAAATTTTGTCTACTTTGTTCACAATTTTTCTCATAATTTTTATTGGCCTCTAACAAGTGTGAAATTGCTCACCTTCATAGATTGGTCCGAAATTATTTCAAATCTGATAGGCAGTTTTGTAAAATTCGCCAAAAATAGTAGAAAAATCGTATGAAAACGTGAGAGTAGTCATTTTAAAGTTAATAACCTGAACTTTTTGCATGTAAAACAGTTTTGAAAAATATTACCATTAAGGAGGTCAAAACAGTTCGAGATTGGACTAAAACTTTTCTGTCAAGGGCTGATTTTTGAGTTTAAGTTATCTAAGTTTGTTCACAACACTTGTTTTTGCTATTTTAAGTGGATAAATCCCAGTTCTACAAGTTTACAAGTGTTATATGTGAGGACACATACTTTTCTCAAGGTTTATATGAAGATCCAAGTGATAAACTTCATTTTCAAGTAAAGATCTAAAAGTTAAACACATAAACATGCATATATACATATATCTAACACAAAAGCACTTGTATTCTCCCCCAAAAACATTATAAAACCGAAAACAAGGGGGTATGAACTCACCTTGGGGGTTTTTGAGATGTAGAAGAAGAAGATGATGAAACTTTGAACCTAGCTTGAGTTTTTGGTGAGATCTTGAGATGGAGGTGGTTCTAAGGTCCAAAATCACGAAAATGAAGTTGTAAGAGGAAGGATCTTAGCATAGAGTTGAAATATAACATCTAGAGATGAATATGGACTTACCAAGTTATGATACTTGAGGAAAATCTTGAGGATGGCACCCCACCCACGAATTTTGAGAGAAATGAAGGAGATTTGAGAGGAAAAGGAGTTATATGCAACTTTGAAATGAGAGTGGTGATGGAGAGGTGGTATGGACGAGTTTTAAGGAGAGAAGGGAGGGTGGATGGTGCTTGGAAGTATGATGGACAAATACTCCCTTCCTAAAAGTATGTAAGATAATTACCATGGATACATGTTGGGTAATTTTGATGTGGCAACAATTTGTGAACTTTTTTTTTTTTTAATAAATGGGCTAACCAACCCAAAAGGAGTTTTTGGGCCCAATATAAAAGGATTTTCGGTTTTTTTTAAAGCCCAAAGATAGGAGGTTTCAACCCAATGATGTTCTAGGAATGGTATTGGCCCAAACGAGGTTGTTGGATTGAGTATTTGTGTTTAAGGCCCAAAAATGATTGGACTTGGCTTTATAGATCGAGTTTCGGGTTTATATGAGATTGTTTTGACCTAAATGTCAATGTATAAAAGTAGAATTTTAATGGCATTGAAGTTTTGAAGTTCGCTAGATGAGATGTTGCAAGGTTACACAAGGAGGTTATATTGTACATGAATTTTCACATTTTAACCTAATTTTTCCAGTTGTGACAATTAAGCTTCATTTGGGTCTATTAGGGCTTACAAGGCCCATTAGGGTTTCAAGCACCCCAAACGAATCAATCTCAACGAGGCAAGCACACCGCCACCCGACACGGCGGCCGGTGGTGGTTAGGGTTCCTTTTTCATTATTCTGATTTATGATTACATTTTACAAACTCTAATCCCAAAATAAACACACTAAACAAACTAATCACACACACACAACCACATTGTGGTGGCCGGTAGCGGCAGATGGTGGCAGCCACCACCTCACGGTGGTGGTGGTGGTGGCTTCCTTGCGATTTCCGACTAGACTAAACACGCTCTAACATAAATACATGCACACCCACCCGTTGTATGGTCGCAAAGCAACTCCAGCCACCCACCGGGTGGCTCACGACGGCGACATCAAGGTTTTCGGATGGTAGCCACCACCTCACGGTGGTGGCGACGAATTCTTTAGGCTCCCTGACCAGCAGCAAAGCACCCCGATGAGTCTTGCTCGGAATCGGAATGCAACCACCCCCGGTGGTGCACTGTGACGGCAGCGGCAGTACCATCGGCGACAGTAGCAGTTCGCGGCGGCAGCGACATCAAGCCCCGATGACAGCAGTAATGGCGGCATAGCGGTGGAGATCGGGATTGAAAGGTGGCAACAGGTGAGCGAGGGAGGAAAAACAACTCAGTCTGCCACCGAGAGCAGCAACCACGACAACCCTCGGCTTGTTTCTTCCGGTAGCTCGCCGTCACAGCTTCCATCGGCAACCTTCTTCTTCACCGGTTGTAGAAACGAGGACGACGGCTGGTCTCGACGGTTTGGTTTCCGTGGAACGGTCTCCGAAGCGGGTGGTTCTCGTCGTCGCCGGCAGAGGAAGATACAACAGTGGTGGTGGCGCTCCGGTTGCGAAGTAGCAGGTGGTGATGGAACTTGACTATGGAGCGGCGACCGGAGATCGTCAAAGAGAGGGTGGCGGCTGATAAAGGCCGCTAGGGTTAGGGTTCCAGAATGGGTGACGGGTTTATATACCCGGTCCCTTTAGCTACTTTCCATAATACCATCTTTAGTCCCTCCATTCCCTTTTTCTTTCAAATACAATCCATTATTTACCCTTTTAACCCTGACTCTGGAAACCCTTTACATTTTAAGTCCCATATTTTATTAAGTGGCCCCTCCCTCTACAATTGTTTTCAAATGAGGTCCATAATTAACACTTTAGCCCCTGATTTCATAAATCCTTATAAACGGGGTCCAGAACTTACACTTTTAACCCCCGACTTCTAAAATTGTGACAATTAGCTCTTGGAGACCATCCTTTTACATCTAATCATTTATTTTAGGGCTACTATTCGTTCATTAATTAATTTATTTATTAAATAAATAAACGGGGTGTTACAACTCTCCCCCACTTAAATTAGATTTCGTCCTCGAAATCATCTCTTACCATTCCTTACACCCCCAACCACTTCTAGTAACATGGTCACCATCCTGGGCACACCCTAGCCCTCCTAGGGTAGCCGTGACCAATCTTCGCAAAAGCCCTAAAATCCTTAGGTGAACGAATTCCCCACAACAAGATCACATCTAACCCGTCTGAAATCTACTGTCTTGATATAGTCTGATCCCCTGACAGACCACTCATACTGAATCATTATCGTTGAATACAGTCCGTTTATCCCGCAACTGACTACTCTACTTCTGATAACTCGAGGTTCCCACTGGAAAACAGGGTCACAAACCCAATTATCCATGCTGGTCTCTTAGCATAACCCAAACAATCTATTATTCCGTCCGTATTTACAACCTGAAGCACAAATGCTAACACTGCCCAAACGCTGAAACTGCTTGAACACTAAACTGGCTGAAGCAGTATGCTGCTACATAGCTGTTTCCCAAAATCCATCAAGACCTTCCTGGTCGCAATTCATCCGTCAGTAACCTGAAATATCGGGTTTTTGCCCGGCTGCGGAGTCAAAGGGCTCCCTACTTAGTCGACTTCTGAGCGAAATCCCTCTCCGGAATTAGTTGCCACTAGTTATCATGCCACTGTGACTTCTGATGTTACCGAATCCAAGGCTAAAGGTGATTGCTACTCGACCAATGGTAGCTTAATATACCAAATGACCTTACGCAATCCATTACTTCCCTGATCTCATAACTGTAGGGGTGATCCTACAGGCTTATCACTGTCTCAATCAGATCTAATCCATCTGGGAATTTCTATAATCTAACCCGTGGATTTTCCATATCCTCACTGCTTCACCCGAACCGGTAGGTACTGCTGTTCCTTACGCGTCCTAACAACGCGCTCATGCTATCAATCAGCCTAGTGTGCTACGGCTACACCCGCAGTCTCACGACACTCTATCACTATCTGACCGCTAGTGAATGCTACGGCTACCCCCGCAGTCTTACAACACTTCCCATGCTAACCGACCACTAGTAAATGCTACGGCTACCCCCACAGTCTTACAACACTTCTCATGCTAACTGACCACTAGTGAATGCTACGGTTACCCCCGCAATTTTACAACACTTCTTATGATAACTAGCCACTAGTGAATGCTACGGCTACCCCCATAGTCTTACAACACTTTCCATACTATCTGACTTCTAGTGAATGCTACGGCTACCCCCGTAGTCTTACAATACTTTCCAAACCGGGTCGAACACACACTCGACCTAACACTCAACCTAACACTCAATTGAACATGAGTCCTAATTGGAGCTCTACCCTGGTCCCCTAAACCTGTTATCCGATGCCAAGGAAAAGCGTGAACCAAATGTTGGAATGTTTTCTAAATTCCCAACTCACCCAATCCTCAACCTAGACGACCACTCATCCGCCTTCCTTCCTGACGTGGCTGTGAAACTCATCCTAGTTTACTAATATTTCTGTTCTTGAGTACCTGGTCAATTCTCCCCCACTTAGCTTCAGCTAAGTCTTCACGGCTCATTAGAATTGAAGGATTCCCAATCCTTCTCGCTTTCTAATATCCCATTGATGACAACCTAAGCTTACCAATGCTGGCGATCACTTACCAGTTACACCCTAAGATCGCCCATCCTCTGAAATCTTGAAGAGTACTCTTGAAATCTGGTCAGGTCTGACACCTCAGTCCACCTCTCACGCTGACCATTGGAGGCCTTAATCCTCACCCTGGCTGACGAATCCTCGTTCTCACTTCCAATCTTGCAGCACCACTGAACTCTAACCGAACATAGCCCACGCGAGAAATGCAATTCTCTTGAACATCCAATGACCGAACACCCATGCGTCTAACACTCGCAACTGACTCCACTATCTCCATGCTACCAGTCCTGTCCTAGCAACAGTAGTGCCTTGAACTCCAAAGTTCATCCATAGACAACTGTCGACCATGCCTGAACAATGATAGAACCACTAGTCTCTGACTTCACTGGAGATCTACCACTTTAACCCTGACTAAGTATCCTCTACATATTACTCCTGCACAGATCCCGATAAAGATCCGGAATGATAACGATACACGCGGAACCCACTCCGCAAGATGCGTCCCTCTGTGGGTTCATCAAGGACTTTTCGGCATGCATGATGGCATATATGATCCTTGATAACCCAAACACTAGCAGAAAACCGACCCAAGATCTGACTTGTCCAAACTCAATCAAATTCCAAAGTGGTACAATTCCCAACATCCATCTAGTAGCAATAGAAGATGACATACCCGCAGCATCTGGAGGAATACTGATCACCTTCTGCTGACATGACCAACCTAGCTACCATGTAGTAGCCTAAACCCTTGGAGCGACAAACTCTCTTGTGCGCTGTCATGTACGTGCTGCACTGACTCAGGCCCTGCTGGCCTTTCACCCGATAATCAGAAGTCATGGGTCTCTCCCCGGGACCCTCTACTATACTCACCGAGCACGAACCTCTCTTCTCAAAGTGCTCCCAATCGATCTCGCATATGTAACCTCTTGGAAATAATGTCCTTCAGGGTCTGATACCCTGCCACGCTCACTAGCTCTCTTGCCAATGGCTAAGCTGCAACAACTGGAACATCCTCTGTCCCCAAACTGGGTCACAAACTCTTCCCTGAAGCTTCTCAGATTCTCCAAGACTCTCATCGATTCGAGTATGGATCCTGTGGTTTCAGTAGTACGGGCCCAATACTACCTTCCACACCTATCCATACTTTCATCGGCAATCCTCCCGAATCCTCCAAGTCACTTCCTCAAACTGATGCACCCAAGTCTCACTAATCCTGCTGAATCATATCCTAGGCTTTCCTAGGTTCCCGACCTCGCCATGCCATCAGCTGCTGAAGAACTTCCCATGATGCCAGCCATCCACCTCCTGGATATCGTCACATCCACTTAGTAGCTGACTCCCATCACTTAAGAGTTCCACAAAGCACAAAGCAAGCAAAATTCGTGCAGTAGCACTCCGATCCAAAGAACTATCATAGAACATTCCGCCCACATGTCGCGACTTGCGCTGTCTACATCCATCTATCCTCACTGTCGGCTGCCTTATGCATGCAAATTATACACAGAACATGATCTAATAGACTGTCGAATAATAGACTCTACCCTAGGACCACAACCAAACAAGGAACAGAAAATAAGGCCAAATCAATTATTCTAAGGCTATAAGATCCTAACCGTATATAATTTTAAAAGAATACACATAGCAGTTACAAATACCAATCATCATTCTGATTCCAGCATGACATCCAATATTCTCGCAGCTACAAGCATCACATATCAGGCCAACCTATTGCTGACTACTCAGCACTAGCATGCAAGTCTACCAGCTCATACAACATACACAGTCATCTCCCTAGCCCTAACTAGCATGTGATTCACAGATTCATAATCAAATCATAACAGACAACATATGTGGGTATTCTGGGAAACTTACTTGAGCTCGGCTGATTGCACGCATCACACACTTTGTTCTTTTCAAGATTCATTTATCTTTTCAAATTCTTTTCAAACTCCTTTTTATAAAATGATTTTGTTTTTGAAAATTTTTCATACCAAGTCCTTAGTTTGAGTTCAGATACACCCGGGAGTGTGCCCGAATCCCTCAAACCAAGGCTCTGATACCAACTTGTAACGACCCAAAAATCAAGGGTAAATTTTTTTTTTAATTAGGTTATTATAAAACCATCAGTATAATAAAACATCCATAATATCATGTCATGTCAAAAGCAAAGTAGAAATAATAAAAACATGTTATCATAAAACAATATCATAGTGTAAACCCCAAAGATCTCATGTATTGAAAATCATAGTGTGATGTGCTGCGATCGAGCCAGCACCTTTCCTTTGAAACGTAATACCTGAAACCAAAACTGCAAACCGTAAGCACGAAACTTAGTGAGTTCCCCAGAGCATACCCCACACAGTCCATATAATCACATATTCCATATTAGCTATAAAAGCTACATAAACCATATAAATCACATATCCATATCAATCACATAGCTATGCAAATCAACATATACGAATGCCGTGGGCTCGTCCCCAGGGTCTTACTCAGGATGTCATGGGCTCCCCACATGGTCTTATACCTAAGTGTCATGGGCTCCCCCATGGTCTTTGATAGGAAAGCCATGGGCTCTCCACATGGTCTTACATCCAGGTGCTATGGGCTCTCTCATGGTCTTCCATGCAAATATCACAAGACAATTAGCATACCACATATACATGCATACCAAACATATCAGTAGTGAATCTACAATAAACACTACAACATAATAGGAAAGCCATG